GAACGATCATTTAGGTGCATAGAACTTAGTGACCTAAGCTGTTTTTGATATATGATATTGACTTTTCAACTCTGTATATAGTTCTGTTTAGTCACGTTCTAATTAAACATGTAATTAATCCCATGTCATTTACAAACTACATAATATGATCTGTGCACACGCTCCACATGACTTCAAAGGAATACGCACAGGTCAGTAATCATACCATGAGCTGATAATGACTTCAAAGGAAATACGCAGTGCAATTTGGGCGATATAACGAGACGCAGATACGAGACAGAGCGGGGAGGAGTAGAGAGGCTTGGACGAGTGCGTGGACTCGCCCGAATTCAGCCGCTGCCTTGGCAGAGGGGCGGAATGGTAGATTTAATATAGTTATGTACCGTCCTGATATGTTCCTGTCGTAGTCTAGTTCCTGTATAGTTTAGGTTCCCGTATTGTTGTTGTATGTATGTAACTGTAGCTGGTTTATATACCTGATGTAAATAAATCATATATTTACTAAACTGATCTCTGTTTCTATACGCGTGGGCGATTTATTGTTTATATAGACAGCCACGAGACGTGGAGAATACGCCCACACAGCAGCTTTGTCTAATCTGCAGCTTAACCGAAAGGGAAAAACTTGGAAATTGGATGTTGAGAAAATTTGATAAGGATCCTTGAAGAAATCTTATTCTTAGGGTTCGTCCTTTTACGAACCCATTGCTTCCAAACCAAATTTGAAAGAACACCTGTGAAAGCCTATGGCCTCTATCGCGTCCCCACAGTTTTTAGCAAAGGGGGATAACTCAGGAACGAAAGACGACTCAGACTAGCAATTATTTGGTCACAGCTCACCAAATAAGGGCCAGAGTTATTTTTAGTCTTTCTCTCTCTTTTCCTTTTTGCCCCTTTTGCATGGCGATTTTTGTTGAGTTTTTTGGTGTAGAATCGAAGAAAAGGGTTTGAAAATACTTTTTCTGTCAGGTTTTGGTGAATATTGATGATTTTGAGGCGTAAGGATACGAGAGTTGAGGGGTTGGTTAGGTTGAAATGTAGGGCCGAAAATTGCATGTTTACTTGTCTCTACTTCCAGCTGGCGTATCTCAAATTTTTCATGGTGAACCTCATACATGCTTTTGGGCAAGAGTTTGCCACTCGCTGCTCCGTCTGTGGCAGATAGCGTTCTACCCAACGAAAATTAGTGAAAAAGTTAGAGCTGGTCTAAAAGACGAGAATTAACATTAAAGTCAATGGGGAAATCTTCAGTGATCTTGACTTCAATGTTAAATGGCTGTAACATCACAGGCTGTAGCTTTTTGCTCAACATTCCGTTGGTTCCAATCTTGATAGGCACAATGGGGACCACATTTGGCAATCTCCTCATTATAATTTTTGTAGGGTGTTGACCGTTTAGATTTTTTGCTACGGGGATTTATGTTGACCGGGGTCAAAATCTCACTTCCGACACAATGATTGCTCTGCATGAAGACACTTTACACCCCTATCCCTCCGCTGTAATATCATCGGTATTGCCCAAAACTGCTATGGAATTGCAAATTTGATCCCTTTTCTCCAATTCTAGACCAAAAGGTCAAACAAAGAAGAGCATCGCTAACGCTGCAATGTACGCCCACATTCATACTTTGATTGATATGGTACTTTTCAAAATGAAGAGAATGAAATATGAAATGGCTGTAACATGACAAGGCTAGGTGTTGGGTTTGTTTTGCCAAATTTACAGAAAACAATATTAACAAAAAAAGTGGGTGTGACACCGCCCCATGGGGTCGGGGCATGTACCAAAATAAATAGTTCCTGTATTTACGGTATAAGGAATAAATATGCAAAGTTCCAAGATGATCCATACAGAATTGCAGTCTGTGGACGATAAATACAAAAATTGGGCGTGGCTCTGCCCATGGGGGTGGGGGGTATGGAACAATATAAATAGGTACCACCCTGTTATTGAAATGATTGATATGCTGAATTTGAACAAAATCTGTTAATTATTGCAACGTGTAGAGTATTTACAGATACAAACTAACAAAAAAGTGGGTGCGATACCAAACCGCTGGAGGGCGGGACATGCGCCAAAATAAATAGTTGCTATCCTTACAGTATAAGGAATAAATATGCCAAATTCCACGATGATCCATTTATAATTCCAGCCTGTAGACAAAAAAAACCCCACAAAAATTGGACGTGGCTCTACCCCTGGGAGTTGGACATGGACCAACATGTATATCATTTACAGACAAAGTATCAACAAAAAGTGGGTGTGGCATTGCCGATAGGGCGAGGGGTGTGGGGGCGAGGCCGTGCACCAACATCAATAGATGCCGTCCTCGGGGTATAAGGAATAAGTATACCAAGTTCCAAGATAGTCCATTCAGAATTGTGGCCTTCGGGCGCTAAAGGCAAAAATTGGGCATGGCTCTGCACCTGGGGGTCGGGGCATCCACCAAAATCAATAGTTGCCGCCCTTAGGCTATAAGAATACATACGCCAAGTACCAAGCTAATCCATTCAGAATTGCGGCCTGTAAACGATAAACACAAAAATTGGGCGTGGCTCTGTGCCCCTGTGGGTCAGGCAATCACCAAGAACAATAGGGGTCATCCTTAGGGTGTAAGGAATAGGTATGCAAAGTTTCAAAAGGATCTGTTAAGAATTGCGGTCTGTAGGCGAAACACAAGACACATACAACAATTGTGCGTGGCTCTGTCCCAGGGGGTAGGACATGCATCAAAAATAATAGGTCAGCCTTAGGGTATAGGAAATAAGTATAAAAAGTTTTCAAGACGATCGATTAAAAATTGCGGCCTGCAAGTGACACACAGACACACAAAAAGAAAATGAGCGTGGCTCTGACCCTGCGGGGTGGGCATTCACCACAAACAATAGGGATGTTCCTTAGAATAGAAGGAATAAGTATGCAAAGTTTCAAGATGATACGTTAAGAAATGTGGCCTGTAGATGACAAACAAACAAATACAAGAAATGGGCGTGGCTATGCCAATGGGGGCCGGGCATGCACCCAAAACAATAGGGATCATCCTTAGGGTATAAGGAATAAATATGAACGTTTTTTTCAAAACGATCTGTTAAGAATTGTGGCCTGTAAGTGACACACAGACACACAAAAAGAAAATGGGCGTGACTCTGCCCCTGGGGGCTGGGCATGCACCACAAACAATAGGGGTGTTCCTAGGGTACAAAGAAAAAGTATGCAAAGTTTCAAGATGATATGTTAAGAAATGCTGCCTGTAGACGACAAACAAACATATATAAGAAATCGGCGTGGCTCTGCCCCTGGAGGTCGGACATGCTCCAAAAACAATAGGGATCATCCTTAGGGTATAAGGAATAAGTATGCAAAGTTTGAAGATGATCACGTAAGAATTGCGGCCTATAGGGGATACAAAGACACATCCGCACAGACAGGGGCGACGGTAATATACGTATAAGTCCACATTATGAATGTGGAGGTATAAAAATGCAGGAAGAGGGGAGAAAAAAATTAAGGGAAAAAATGTCTATTTATAACTCGCACTACAACATGAAATAAGGCGAAATAATTACTAGTCTTAGACCAGGCTGCGGATTGTGGATATCAACAGGAATCGATGACGCAATGTTTTATTCACTTAAATATCTCTCCTTAAAACCTGCGATATCACCTCGGTGGAAGCGGACGTAAAATACAACTAACAAACAACAACAACCCTGCAGGTGTTTATCGATGTCGTGTGTGTATGAAAATCGATGTTGGTCATAGTAAAATACAAATTTCTTGAAAATTTTATGAAAATCAACAAAGAATTGAACGCATTATAGGGAATGTTAACATAAAATACCTTTACCTATAATCATATCAGTCAGGATGTAATACTATATGGTCTATATACTGTAGAGGTTATCTGAGTGCTCTAAAAAGATGCCCTGGTTAATGTATTGAAGTTGTTAGCTAGTACCAGTGACAAAAAAAACTAGGCTAACAAGGATAAGTCTGGTAGTTTAAAATCGGGCAATGACACCAGTGTGCTAATCCAAATATGGCAACCAGGGTCGGAGCAGCCCCTTTTACTAACCGCGGAGTCAGTACGGGGGGGGGGGGGGTCCGGGTTCTCTCCCCCATGAAAATTTTGAAAAATGAACCCCAAATATGCGATTTGATGGCATATCTGATTATAATCTCTGTCAAATAATATATCTCATAAATCGATTAATTTAGGCCAAAACCCCGATCTGCAAGTAATTTACAACCATCCACCTGTGAAATTATCATATCGTCATATTATTAATTAAGTCATATTATTAATTAACGTATTATTATTGTATCGTCAAGAGTCAAGAGAATTAAACTGGTTAAAAAATGGGACTAGTTGAAAAAATTTTGACCATTTGATTAACCAGTTAGGAATATTGAAAAGGTAGGAATATTTTCATTGAAAAATGTCCCATTTTTGTTGCGGGGAGCTCTAGTTGATTCCTCCGGCCCACACCCAGCACACCCGGCGCAGAAAGTCTATCATACCAGCCCATTCCGGACTCCAGTGATGGCGTGGCGGCCTGTTAAAGCCACCGGCCACATACAACATGATCATCATGGCCCAATCCGCCCCTGATGGCAACCCCATGCGTTAGAAACGTGGTTAGCCGCCCTCCTGGGTGCCCATATAAGTACACTGTGTTGAAATCCAGGGTAGCATCTGTGCAGCTGACCAATCGATAAAGGAAGTACCTGGTAAATTTCCTGGGGCTCAATACATAACTCATGCACGTACCTCTTTATATAATAAGAGCAGGGGTTAACTTTCCCTTCAGACATCATTGAGAGATTCTAGAGAAGATATCATTCGGAGTTCCCAGGAAAACATACCCACAGCCTCCTCGGCTGAGAGGCTGGGAAATATACATCATTCAGACATAATTGGGGAGTTACTTTTGTGAAAATGCTCATATTCGACAGAAATCATCTTGAACTGAAATGTGTGCTATAAAAATGAACAAAATTAGTTAGCATTGATTTATTGAGGTGTTGTATGATAACTTCACTATAGAATCACAGTGGGTTATAACAGATGACAGATTATAATTATATACATTACAATACCCATTGCCAGAAAACATAATACATATTAACAAGCAGTAAAATAACATCAAACATTACACAAGACAATATGTCTGAAATCTTCCACTGGTTGTTAAATTTTATCTGTGATCCTTCCAAGTGAGAATATGAGAAGAACTGCTTTGTTTTGATTAAATGCAGTTGTAACTATAAAAAATATATTCTAATTACATCTGCCAATTCACAAAAATACTTAATGTTATTCACTAATTAAATGATTAATTGATGATATCCCTAATGACTGATCGATTCTTATTGTTTTTGTTATGAAGTTCAAGCACTTGCTCAAAATATTTGACAAGCTTGTATTGGGCGTTTTTCTTTGTAATGCTGAGCAAGATATTTTCCATACTATTCCTACAAAACTGCACAAATAACATTTGATTTAAATTAATAATACAGAGTTTTCAACCTTCTGTGTGACATCAATAAATTCGGAAGTCGTACACTGATCTGTATTTCGAAAATTTGAAAAAAAAAAGAACTTAATGAATGATTAAAAAGATAAAAATGATTTTGATTTACAATATCTACCTTGACATCAGGATTTTTGTCATACAAAATTATACATTGAATATGAAACTAACAAAGTAACAATGATTAAAACAATGATCTTACTTATCAAAGCTATGACAGTAAAATGGGTCCAACAGTGACATCTGGCAGAACCCAGCGCCTATCCAATTATGCAAGATCCCAAAATGTAGCTTTTTGTATATTTTCAGAGCTTTGTTCTTGCTTCATTGATATGGTCAAATATGAATCCTTCATTTTCCTTACACCTAGACTTGCCTTTGTTTACATTTAGTGTTATGTACACCTAATTCTTAGAATATCATAAATGGACCATAAATAAGTTACTAAATATATTGTCAAATACCTTATAGTTTTATTTCCAAGAATAGTAAGATGACATTGATATAGAGAATATTCATATTTTCCTAAAATATACATCTCTATTTAATTTTGATGCAAACAGAATGAAGTATGGGCATTGATATAATATATCATTCAAAAATTTAACACAAATTTATTAAATTCTTTATAAATTTCATGTGAAAATATACATCCATTAAAGAAGTTTATGTCAGAATCCTTTAGTAAGTCATAAAGTATGCCTATTGTAAATTTAGCCAATGTTTTGTTTATAATATATGACAAATATGCTATAATAATACAAAGGTAAATATAACAAAGACCATCTTAATCATATGTTATTCATGAAAATGTATTTTCATAGGCGTACGAGCAGGGGGGGGGGGGGGGGGGGGCGGGCAGCTGCTCCCCTAACATTCGGGCCATCTGACTTTTCGGGCAGACAGGTAAAATGAAAAAATAAATTTTTATTATTTCATCTAGTTGGCAAAATAAAGTCCCCGGAATCTAATAAAACACTAATTTTACTTTTCTTTTAATTAAATACCACAAATTTGTACTGAATTGACTATGGATTAAAGCATTTGTCTGGAGCCACTCTACTTTGTGCGACATTTTTCGGGCATCGATTATTATTTGTGAATGCAGCTGCAACAATGTGATTGGATGGTTGGAATTCAAATCGGCATAGAGTGGTATTTCGGTTACAAAAACATTAGATAATGTTAAGAGTTGCTAAAAGGAGCTAAATCGCTAACATTTGGGACCTAGAAATTGACAAAAGTGGGTCGCAACGCATATAATACTGTAATATGAATGTATATAAACTGATTTACATTCAATGGTTTCCGTTTTTACTCCAATTTCAAATCAGTTATGTTTGGCGAAATAAGCCAGCAGTCTCAAGCGAGTGCAAATTTCTAGCGTCTGGTTATTCCAGTCTATATACGCCGTTTAATTTGGTTCAATGTGTCTAGCCTCGTCCCTCGAGTCTCTTGATACAACTGGGGCTGAAGCGCATTATGGTACACGATTTGTGTACCAATGGTAAAATGTTTATTTTGTTTTAAATATTGGATATCAAAAGCCCATCTTTTTCCGGTAAGATCACAACATGAATGTTGATTTAATTTGACAAATAAATCGTGTTTTCAATGTTGAAGATTTTGGATGATATTGAGTTAGAGACTTAGCTACTTTAACTCACGGCTAGAGAAGCAGAAAAACGCATTTGCGATAGTTAAATTTTCTCCAGGAGGGCCAGGCCCCCATACCCCGAGATGGCTGATTGGTTGTTCGGGATTCAAGTCAGCCACCAAAGGTAGGCTATATTGGACCACGTTGAAGTTGCTGTATTCACAGACACGATTGATTTGTTGATTGGAATTGGAATTTGAGTCAGTCATCTTAATTAGACTATATTATTATAACCTGAAATTTTTTCGGGCATTTCAGATTCTTCCCCCCTAACTGTCATCGAGCCTGTACGCCTATGTGTATTTTGTAATAATACTATGCTAGAATACATTTCTGTCGATAAAGTAATCAATAATTTCAATAAAATCTCCAACTGAAGTTAAATAATGAATACAAATTGTATAAAGATAAAAGCTTTACCATATAACCCTAATGGAACCACCGTGTAGATTTCTCAAGCATCCATTATTTAAACTTGTTATAACCAACCAAAATACATATTTAATTGACCTCCATAATAATTATTAACATTTTAACTTAAGAAAATAAAAGGAAGGACTTCCTTTATTGAACACTTTATAGCTTCAGAACTTTTAAAATTTGCAAAATAGACAAGGAGTGTACACAACCCCTAAACTGAGGTCTTACAATCACTAAAACAAGTACAATGTTCTCTAACAATTTAACACCCTAAATTGCAAGCTTATGTCTTTTAGAATGAAAAAAGAGTATGTAAATACATGTATATAAATGAAGAAAGTACCATTTTGATGCATTTGTGTAATAAATATTCCGATAAGATTGCATGAAGACAGAATACACACGCAGACTAGCAATTATTTGTCAACAGCGATCTGCGAATTCATTGCACAGTCACACAGACATCAGAAGTGATAGACAACTGATTCAATTTTTGATCAGTTCTTTTTTGTCAGGGTTAATTTAATAAACTACTAATGAGCTTTTTAATTTGGAATAATTAAAGACTTGAACCACACTAATGGTCAAATATACAAACTACCACCGAATTCATCTGTTACATTCAACCCCTTCAATACTAGTTATTGATTATCTGTTGATAAAATCACTCAATGTTAACAAAGACCATTTTGGTAGCCAACTACATGTACTTTATAAGAAATAGTGTGAAAAAGTAGGATATAGTAGGCTGTAGATATCTATCAGGTAGAATATTATTATAACAAAGATTAAACATCATTTCTTTTATGAATTAAAAACAATTGCTATAATTTGAAATATTTAATAATACATGTCATTGATGATTTCTCAATGTTTTTTAACAGGTAAATATTGAAATAAATTGATGACAAACAATCGCTAGTGGCTTTCAATGTCCGATGACTGAGCAAAGCAAAGACAAATGGATAATGTTCTACATCTGTAAACTACATAACAAAGAAAATTACACAGAATTCATCATAATAATCAATCACCGTTACTTAATAATATAAATACAAATATGATGAATTTTTCTGGAGGCTTTGACAGTAATTCCAATTTGTTGATTTATCTGTTCTGTTGTTATCTTTCCACATAATTATATACCATAATATTCAACACACTTTAATGTCTTTTATCATTAAATAAGTCTTTTTCATTTCAATTTTTTCCTATAATAATCAATATTATCTTTGTTGGAGCAATCGGTCAATGGCTGCATTTACATCTCCTAGTGTAGCTGTTAATGCTAAAAAAAATAATCAAATTTAAAAGTTTTAACTTTTAAAAGTAATCAACTTACATAATACAATGTGATAATAATCAACTCTGATCACAGTGTGTGTATAGATGTTAATGCAAAAAGTAAATCAAGTCTCTTGCGCAGTTCTTTCTAATTCCAACAAGACTGTATTAGTTAATAATGCTTCTGTGGACTGATCTGTCCAGTGTGTTATTGCTATACCACAGAAATAGATCGTAACTATGTGATGAGGAAAATATTCCAGTTTTACACAGCTTGTAAATTGGCCCTTATGTTCGAGTATATTCAGTCAATTTTTATGTCAATTGATCCCGACGACTGGCTTAATTATATGACTGAGGTAGAACCCATGAACTAACCAAACATACCTAAGTTAAATTATACCAGTGGTTTCCAGGCAAGATACGCCCACATTTTGCAAGAGATGGATAGAGAACAAAAAATGCGACTTTTGGTACAATCAGGGGCCAGAATTTACAATTACAGTCTGATATGCACAAATATCAAAAGGAACTGAGATCTTTTGGCTATAAATAAACATACATTTAAGTTTCATTAACTTCTAGAGGGTCCACAACCTTGGTATTACATACTTTTTCACTATTTGCGTATAACTAGCAGCCATTTTGTGAGGCAGTTAAGTCTGATTTTCACGAAATTCGAATTTACCCAACATTATTGTGTAACAGTGGTCTATTCGGTCATTTTTTTTAACTCAGATAAAAATTGTGACCTCTAGAGGGACCACAAGCAATCGATCGTTTCTTTTAACTCAGATAAAAATTGTGACTTCTAGAGGGACCACAAGCTAAAAATGCAATTTTCCGTACAATCCGGGGCCATAATCCAGAAAGTTACAATCCGATATGCGCAAATATTGAAAGGAACCAAGATCCTTGGGTTATAAACATAAATTTCAAATTTCATCAAAATCTGATGAAAATTGTGATCTCTAGAGGGTCCACAACTTTGATATACCATACTTTTACACTATTTGCGTACGAGGAACGGTTATTTGGTCCAGCAGTTTTGGTACGGTTTTCACAAAATTCGAACTCAACCGACATTATGGTGTAACTTAGGAACCACAAGCTCAAACCGGACGGATAGGGACAACAACAATATACGTCCACATAAAAATGTGGGCGTAAAAAAATTAATGAGTAATTTAGAGTAACCTGATTTTAGCCAAAAGATAGACTTGCCAGACAACGAAACATACGCCAACAGCAGCTAAATCGTCTGAGCGGTTGACCAGGGTTGAGGGCAATTACAAGACAATTTCATACAGATCAAATTATAATTTTGGTCGTTTGAGGGTTTACAAGGTTCTACAAACTGAAACAAGGGCCTTAACTCTAGAAATAATTTACAGAAAATTTTGAAATTTGACAGGCTTTTTTGTTTTAGCAATTTAAATAATGCATATAAATTTCATACAGATTGGATGATAACTTTTGTCGTTTGAACGTTCACAAGGTTCACAAAGTAAAACAAGGGCCATAACTCCAGAAATAATTGACAGAAATTACTGAAATTTACGAAGGCCCATTAGTGCCAAACAAAAAATACATATTAGTCCGTTTAAACGAGTCTGTATCTCGTTTGAACGAATTAGTATTTCGTTTGAATGAATTAGTATCTCGTTTGAATGAATTATTTACCTCGTGTGAACCAGTTAGTATCTCGTTTGAACGAATTAATTATCTCATTTGAACCAGTTAGTATCTCGTTTGAATGAATTAATTATCTCGTTTGAAAGAGTTGGTATCTCATTTGAACGAGTTGGTATCTCGTTTGAACGAGTTGGTATCTCGTTTGAACAAATTAGTATCTCGTTTGAACGAATTAATATCTCGTTTGAACGAGCTAGTATTTCATTTGAACGAATTAATTATCTCGTTTTGAACAAATTAATATTTCGATTGTACAAAAGCATGGAAGGGACATGCAGAAATTGTGTTTCAAGTAAAGATAATAATATGATTTAATAGGTGTAGGTTCTTTACTATTTCTAGCGTTGGCGTCAGTAGAAGGAACTACACTTGTGAAAAGGGGAATTAGTATAGAATACCTTGGAAATTATCCAATTTGTTTAATGTTAGCCTGGGTTAGCCACAACATTATGTCATGTATACTATATGCTTAAACAGGCATTATGACAGGTACATGTATGATACTGTAAGGAAGTGGATTTGAAATGCACCCAATTAAGAAATAAAATGGTAGATTGTGCCTTAGCTGAATTTTCACTATAGCTCAGTGAACAGAACTACAGGTATACGACTGCTTGTCAGCAAGGTTTACATATTGAGGATTAATGTTATTGTTGCCAGATGAACTTATTTCCAGTGTTGATTGCCTTGGAAGAGGATTTGGGTGTGAGTTTCTAAGATAGAGGGGTGGGGTGTGGTAGTGTTAAAAAGGAATAACTAATTTGAGTATGCAGCATGCAAAATGTAGCAAGAGTAGTAGTGCCGCAAAATTTATCGCATTGCGTGTTGCATCCCTCCCACTAGGGAACCGAGGGTTTCAGAGGGGAACGCTGGCTCAAGCAAGGAATGGCTGTTCTGGCCGCCCTACGCTTGATTGGTACCGGTGAAAGCCGACACGGAGGCCTTCCCCTCTTGGTTCACCTTGAGCCATTGTTACCAATGCAGCGTTGCTTTGCCACACGGGCCCCTAGTGGCAGGGATGAGACGTGCAATGTGGGCAATGTTTCGGCACAATTACTACGCTTGTTTCGTTTTGCATACTGCTACTGCATTCCACATTTTTTTCGTGTCATCCACAGTTTTTCGTGTCATCCGAGGACTACAGACTTTTCTAACAAGACTCGCACCATTAAAGTAGACTTCGTAAATTAGTTGTTTCTTCTACCCCCCCCCCCTCTCTATCTTAGAAACTCACCCAAATCCTCTTCCATTCGTTGTATTGCAATGTAATCAACACTAGGAACAAATTTACTCTGGGATAATCCTTTACTGCAAAGTTCAATTAATATGTAAATGCTGTTGACAAGTAATCGTATACCTGTAGTTCTGTTCACTGATGTGACAGGGAGTAGGGTCGCCCGTCCAACCTCGTGGGTTTTCTCCTGGTCCCCCGGTTTACTCCCACTGCTAAATACCCCTACGTGGATGCAAATTATTGAAATAAAATTGATCGATGTCTTAGCCCCGAAATGACCTAGTTTGTGTCGAGTGGATGTTAAACCCCATTTCTCTCTCTCTGTCTCTCTCTGTGTTCACTGAGCTAGCGAAAATTCAGCTAAGGTATAATTATTTCTTAATTGGGTGCGTTTCAAATCTACAACTTGACAATATTAAAGATACATTATGTAAGATTTAGATAAAGAACTGGTCGTTCTTGCAATAATATTTCAAAAATAGATAATGCAAAATGAATATATTGAAATTTTCATTAAATTACTTTATTCTGAGCAACGATATTGGCCTCTGAAGGTTTGACAAGATGTGTGCACGGAATGTAACCAGCCTAGTGTGTTTTCGAGGCTTAGCCTCGCTTTACCATTTTCAATTAAATCGTTCTAATCTACTTAAATATGTAAATAAATGTCTAATGAATAGTTTATACATGTATAACATTTAAGGCCTAAAGAAAGACCTGCAAAAGGCAGATTTAGCTCTTGCATAATGCCTGTTTAAGCACATGTCATAAAACAATGACTTCACTACGATGTTGTGGCTAATTCAGGCTAACATTAAACATATTCGGCTTTTAAAACGTGGATAACTTTCAGCATATTCTGTACTAATTCTCCTTCTCATAAATGTAGTTCCTTCTACTGACGGTAACGCTAGAAATAGTAAAGAACTTACGTATCAAATAACATTATCTTTACTTAAAACACCCATTAGGATCACAATTTCTGCATGTCCCTTCCACGCTTCTGTACAAACGAAATCTTAATTCGTTCAAATGAGATCATTAATTAATTCAAACGAGATAATAATACGTCCAAACGAGATAATTAATTCCTTCAAATGAGATAATTAACTCTTTTAAAGGGACAATAACACTCTTGCTGGCTTGACAGCTCCAGAAAATAAAAAATAGCCTAAGTACTAGATGTGTTAGTGTCTTACCTGTTGTGTTAATTATCCATTAAATCCTATTTTACTTGTCCCGTGGGTTCAAAAATATTTTTAAATCCAAGTCACATTTGAAAAGCTTTAGGTCAGGCTTTTCAAATCATTTAGTTGAATTTTTCCAATTTTTTAAATTAGGTGTGTTAAGATGAAATTTATATCACCAATTAATTGGAATATTGTAAAATAGTACAATTTGTTGACCAGAATAAAGATTGGGACATATTATTCAGTTACAACAAGAGTGGTATTGAGCCTTTAAACAAGATACTAACTTGTTTAAACGAGATAATTAATTCGTTCAAATGACATACTAATTCGTTCAAACGAGATGATTGATTCGTTCAAACAAGATAATTTATTCATTCAAATGAGATACTAATTCATTCAAATGAGATACTAATTCGTTCAAACAAGATAATTAATTCGTTCAAAAGGATTAATATTTTTTTTGTTTGGCACTAATGGGCCTTCGTAGAAATTCAATAGACCTCTGTTTCACAAATTTAAATGAAGCATATAAATTTCATACATATCGGATGATAACTTTCATCAATCGAGCATTAATAAGGTTGAACAAAGTGAAACAAGGGCCATAACTCTAGAAGTAATTATTGTATATTGCTGAAATTCAATAGGCTTTGTGGTTTCACAAATCTAAATGATGCATATAAATTTCATATAGATGATAACTTTTGGCGTTAAGAGTGTTCACAAGGTTCAACAAAGTGAAACAAGGGCCATAACTCTAGACATAATAAATGGAAATTGCTGAAATTCTTCTTTTTTACTAATTTAAATGACGCATATAAATTTCATACAGATCGGCAGATAACATTTGATGTTAGAGCGTTCACAAGGTCTAACAAAGTGAAACAAGGGCCATAACCCTAGACGTAATAATCGGAAGTTATTGAAATTAAATAGACTTCTTTATCTCACTAATGCCAACAACATATATCAATATTAAAACAATCGGATCATGACTTTTGGCGTCACAAGAAATTGTAAATGACGGAGTGTTGAACCGACAGATGGGGCAACGGATATATACGTCCAAATTATTCATATGGGCGTATAATAAAACAGTATTTGGTCCATTTCACACTTTCATATCAATAAGAAAGAGGGAAATGAGGTTTAACATCCACTCACAACAACTAGGTCAGTACAGGATCAAAACCAAAGTTAATTATAGGTTTATCTCTTGCACATAGGGATTTTTTAGCAGAAAACTGGAAACCAACAAGATTATCCCTCCATTGAAACAACAACAGAATTCCTGATAACATAATGGTTCCCAGCTTATACTCTAGATCACCCATTTTCGCACCAAAAAAAAAAATGTTTTTGATCTACCTCTAATATTTGCTTCTCTATCCACAAAACCCATTGTTGCTAATTGTTCAAGCTGGGAGGAATATCTCTGTTCAGGTACTTGATTCTACAATCAATAACAATTTTTTATTAATAACTTATTTCATCTTCAATCAGTAAGACACCAATTCCAACAGAAACATTTAAATATTTTATTAATAACTTATTTCATCTTCAATCAGTAAGACACCAATTCCAACAGAAACATTTAAATATTTTATTCCACAACAAGGTTTATTATTTACTTAAATCATTAAAAAATGTTAGTAAACTTACAATTTGTCCAGCTGCCATCATCTGCATCATCTGAGCCATCATACTATTAAACTGATCACCGGCAGGGAGTTGTGTTGGAGGCGTGGGGATAGTAGATGTTGTAGTAGTAGTAGATGGTGTAGTACCAGTAGATGGTGTAGTACCAGTTGTATCTGTAGTAGCAGTAGTCGTACTAGGTGATGTAGGTGTGCTTGTAGTTGTTGCGGATGGCGGCGTTGTACGAGGTATTCCCAACATGCTAAAATTAACACAGATACAACAGCACGATTACATAAAATATATATTTTCTATATACAGGATGAAACAAAATGTTCAATAACCTTGTCCTCATTTGCAGTAGTCCTGCTCCCATCGTATTTACAATTACGCTGGAGCTATATATTCAGTTTTATTTACATCCACTGACATTTTGATAGGCATTTAGACAGGCATGAAACATAAACCTTAAAGGTTTGATTTGTCATTTGCATTTTCGCTAAAATATCCATTTCTCCCAGCTTAAAGGGGCATTATGGAAGATTAGATAAAGAGCTGGCAGTTTTTCGCTATAAAAGTTAAATACTAGACAATGCAAAGGGAATATGTTGAAAATTTAAGTCAAATTGCTCCACTCTGAACCAAGATATTAGCTTTTGAATTTTGGGTCTAGCCTCGATCATTCAAATCCAGTGAAAATCTGACATAAATATAAGATGGCATCGAGAGTTGATAAAGGTCTTTACATGTTAATAAATGTCTAATTAACAGTTTATATAGCATTTCAGGCCCCCCAAAAAACCTGCAGTGGGCAGATTTAGCTCTTGCATAATGTATGTTTAAGAATACAATTGATGGGATTTAAACTAGGCCTATGTATGAGGTTTCGTGGCATCTTGTTACTAGCAAGCAGCTTAGATCGATGAAATTTCAATTTTAAGAGATTAAATTTTCACAATATTATAATTTGAAGAGGGGATTCCTATGGCGTTAAATGATGCATCAAGCCTTTAAGTAAATGATTCCCTAAACCAATATATTGAAATGTTTACTGTTATATTGAAATGTGCTAGCCCCTGTATATAAATATAAGAGATTCACGATGTTGGTTTTGGAAGCTATTTATATTTATATATATAATTATTTACCCTGGTGCTACTCCTGGAGCCTCTTGAGCCAACTGTTGCATTCCTTGTTGTATCTGCATTATAGCTTGCATGGCTCTAGGATTTGTTAACATGCTCTGCATTTCAGGATTTTGCATCTGAAATAAAAAAAAATCGGTCTGGTTTATATCTTACCTACATTGATTATCACATACTCTTTAACGATGTACTTAAATCAAACCAAAACCATAGGCTCAATTTAAGAGGAAATTATTACAATAAAACAAAATAATTACTTGTCACAATTTGTATTAGCTGACATTTAGTTGATGTAATTTAAAAATAAAATATCAACCAACCTGTTGTAATAGTGTAGGCATATATTGTTGAAAATGTTCTTGTAACTGTGGGTTGCCAGCAAACATGGGGTTACTTCCTAGAATCTATAGATATTGTAAATGAGAGATCCTGATTAGTTAATTCCATGTATAATAAGTATTAACGGAATGTGAAACATATAGTAACTCAATGCAGTCTATAAAAGAGTACAATTAAACTGTTTAAAAAAATATCAATTAATTGATACATATATCAAAAGTCTTCCAGGACATTTAATTGTATTTGTCGCTTGTTCACTTTCCATCTACCATAAACATAGAAGCCTAAGTAAATTCCTCGATTATCCTATACCAACTTCTTTTTCGGACATTTCACCACAGAATCTCTTTATTTTCTCACAACCTTTAGCCACTAGATCAACACAAGAAGCGCTCACTACATTACTCAAGCAGACAGATATACTGTTATTTACAGATACCCATACATTTTTGTCTTGTGTTCGCCCATATAAGTTTTTCAGGGAATTCAGTATTTTTCTAGTAAGACTGGGCATCTCTACTTTCTATATTATACCAAAATTGCTACATATGAAGTGGAATAATTTAGCGGAAATTATGGGGAAGACAGCTGAATAGTCATTTTTCATATAAAAAGGAGATGTTATGGTCCAGGGCTCACACTGGCTTTCAATTTTTTCTGCCAAAATGGATGACAATTTTTATATAAAGAAAATGTTCATATTTTTTTTCTGCCAAAAATGTGTGATAAAAAAGACAACAGCTAATCATTTTATGTCTCAGTTAGGCTTATTATAAAACAATTACCGATATATACAATACAATATACAACAACTTTAAAAATCTGTCTTTACATAATAGATTTGCAAAGTTTGGATATAATAAGATCAGATTTTATTTTTTGGTGACTTTAGTCTATTTGAACACCGTACTGCACAATATATTTTCAGTATTTACACGTCAAATCTCATTCCAAGGATTACCAATTTTCTATAAATTTTTGTGTTGTGTGCACAATGGGCCTATTGTTATTTTCAGGTACGGTAAAGGTATCAGAATCTGAATCCTTGATAGAATGGTATAAATTTCAATTATATTTGTAACAGATGCTTACAATGTTTCCCCATCGTTAACTTTTAGAGCATTTTGGCGACGGTAATATGATATACATGTAAATGGCGATCTGTTTTCTCGCTCAAAAGTCGTCACTATTCGACTCGTACTTAAGTTTTCGACCAATGGTGATAATATAATTTGAAATAATGATATCCAGTAGGCATGCTTGTATATTTTACATGCCTTATATGAAGCCACTGTAAACGGAATTCAGCTATCAAAATATTTAATTCTCTTCGAAAGGAACTGTCGGCAATTTTGATTACATGTATTACCTTTTTTACCTTTTTTTAAGACGAAACGAAATATTAAATAACCACCGCTTGGATTAATCATTAGGAGTAAATAATGACTTGACATAGGCTTTATATATACTCTTCAAAAACAGTAGGGGATGTATCCAGAGATCAGGCGCGTGTCCAAAGACCCCCTTCCCCCCTCCACACCACCACCGCTGCTCGTGTTGGCTGTTGATTAGCCATCAAGAAGATATCTATCCCACTCAAATTATAACATTGATTTTGAATCTTCTGATGAAGACTAAGAATAAACTAATATCTAAACATGTCTCTAATTTACTGTGTATTTTATGTACATTTCCAGATCTCTTGAAATGTACCATTATTGGTACTGAACGAAAAAGCAATCTGATTAAAATACAGATGTATATTTCGTTTCATGTTTTTATACTTTCGATGGCCTACACTACATGAAGATCTGACTAGTTGTAGGCCTACTGGGAGAAAACATCATGGGTTATATGAGCGGCTTTTGCCCCTATGATGTCAGACATTGATTAATCAAATCAGCGTTGACGTTTCTAGGGGTTTACCCACAGTTCCGTGCAGAACACGCCAAGATCTCACCCTTACAGACCATTTCATTGGCTAATTCCTCACATCAACTAGACCGCATGTTATATACTCTTCAAAAAAAGTAGGGGAAATTGAAATGCAAATACCTATGCAGGTTGCGATATGATAAATAGTCATGGACATTTGACAAGCTTTGAGAGTATGTTCACAGATGAAGAACTTATCACCCCAACAGAACCACTGAGTTGCACATGCGACACGCAATAGCGCCATACACGTGGGAGGGGTTCATTGTCAAATTTGACACGTCAACGAAGGGTTGATGAAAACTGTCGCTTGCTGGTTTATCTATCAATGTTTGCTTTCCTATCAGTTCTTGCATAAGATTTACTGTTTAGCATATCTTTGCTTTAGTGTGTTACATTTAATTTGATCAGGAGACGTGTTCGTCGACGTCAACGTCAACTGACAACACTGCAAGAATTGGCCGTGGCACTGCAAGATTAGTCGGTCAGATTGCCCCAAATCGTGATTGGACGGTTGATTTGGAGCATGCCACAACGAATTGCTGAATGTCTGAGAATTGGTGGAGCCATTACTCATTATTAAGACAAAAATCTTTGCGAGTGAAATGGGGCCGTCCGATAAGCCACTTATATGAACTGTTTATGTTCACGTGTAGGCAATTAGCCTGTTATTAACATACACTGGTTAACTCTAGCTAATAAAAACAGCAGTGCATTTCCGCAGTTTTGTAATGTTTCTGAATATCCCCTACTTTTTTTGAAGAGTATATATATCCTTGGCAATCATCAATCAACTAATCCGGATTATCAGCCAGTTGATTAATTTATAGTATCCCGCCATGTGATTGATACTCAATAATGGTTAATCCAGGATAAATACGATTAGAATTTTTAAGATTTTTTTTCCGCCAGCTCTCAAAAAGAATCGCCAGTACCGCAAAACATTATCGCCCAAATCAAATTTTAATCGCCACTTTCATATTTTCATTGCAAATTGCGACTTTGGCAACCGACAGTGTGAGCCCTGTTATGGTCTATTGACAAACCTGTTGAGATAGTTGAGGGTTTGTAGACATAGTTTGTAACATGGCCTGCATGTATGGTGCCTGTAACATATTCTCCATCATCTGTGGATTTTGTTGCATTTGCTGCATCAAACTCTGCATTCCAGGTGTATTAAACATTCCTGAAAGAAATAGTAAATAATTCAAAACAACTTATTTCTTATAGAAAATTAAACAATACAAAAATTAGAAAGTATCAATTTTTTTTCGATTTGTGCAGTACTAAATTTTTTTCCACAATAAATGCAAATAATTTAAATATCCAGGCCGATAGAATCATGCAATCCATTTAGTATATTTAAGTATATATTTTATATACATCTGTAAATAATTGCTTGAAATCTTAAAGGAGTTAAACCATCGGTGTAGAAATGGGTTGATCTGATGTGTTATTTCTAGTGATGAGACAAAATATATTACTATTTTAAGGCAGGACACTACCTAAGAATTTTACATTGATAACAGAAACTTGCCATTTTATGATGTCCCAAATCAGATTTGATAATTTGAGCGCAAAATGTTTATTTGTTGTCATGGAAATGGTGGCCATATTGGATTTTTTTATATATTCATGGTGGCTATGTTAGGAAATTAAAATCTTCAACAATTTTATTGAAACAAACTATTTGTGATTTGGAATAACATATATAGGCATTAAAGAGTGCAATAAGGCATAAATTTTACTATTTGAATGTTAATAAAGAACATTATGCATCCCACATAAAACAAGTGGGTGTGGCCGAACACACCACTAAAAGGATTTTGTACAATAAAATGTCCAAATGTATAACAAACACTTTGAAAATCACCTTATTGCAAACAGTAGCTATAGCACTAATCGTATTCCAAAGATGAGACCATTATCTCTCATAGATTTTGAGAATTTGATTTTCTAAGACCTGATATGGGTGAAAAATTGAGTATGGAAAAAAGCAAGTTAAAAGTTAAAAATTTGATTTACCTATACAAATGACTAAATATTTAACACTATATAATATAAAGGCTGGACACGACTTGAAAAATCAACAAATTTTAACTATTTTGGGCAATTTTAGCTGATATTAAAATTTGACAGATCAATCTATACAGAGTGTTTTATAAGGTAGTGTCCTGCCTTAAAGATACATTATGCAAGATTTAGATAAAAAGCTGGCCGTTCTTGCTATAATAGTTCAGAAATAGATAATGCAAAACGAATATATTGAAATTTTCACTCAAATTAATTTATTCTGAGCTAAGTTATCACTGTTTGTAGTTTTGACAAGATGTGTGCATTGATCGTAACCACTGTACTGGTCATTTGAGCCTTAGCCTTGCTTCATCATTTTTAAATTAAATCATTAAATTGTCAAACCGTTCTAATCAACTTAAAATCAGAGCCATCTGATGGCTTGGAAGTTGATTATGGTCTTGTCATGTAAATAATGTCTAATTAATATTTATATAACATTTAAGGCCTAAAGAAAGGCCTGCAATAGGCAAAAATGTATCTTTAAGCTTTAAGTCTCTAACTCAAAATTTTCTATAATATTCGAAATTAAAAACACAAATTAGAATTCAATATTGATCAATTTTGTTATCCTGCCATGAAACTATAGGACCCTAATATCCAATATTTAAGACACAATTAACATTTTATAATCAGTGCACGAGTCGTGTAACCTATGATTTCGCGTGCCATTTCATAATGAACAAATAAAAACATATCCTACAACACAATGTGAAAGTAATTAGTAAAAACTGATTCACAAACGACAAAATAATAATTTAAAAATATGAAGAGTGTACTAAGCAGGCATAAATGACTCCCTTTCAATTTGAACTGTTCACGTATTTCACCGAACATAATGGATTAGAAATTACTTTTTTTTTTTAAATTTACTATATAAATCACTTTACATACATTCATATTACATTAATATGTGCTTTTAGAATCATTTTTGTTTATTTTAAGGTTCCAAAAATTACAACCATATGGCCTTTAAAATTAACTAATAATTCTTATTTTGTATGAAACTGTCAACATTTTTGATTTATACCTCAAAATTTACTGTTTTAAATATAGACAGATGATAGATGTACCAATTTCACAAACTAAATCAACACATCAAACTTAATTAAATCAACACTTATTTTTATACAAATTCAAAGATGTCTAGGAATTTTAATCGTCTAAAATAATAAATGAGCTGTAAATATTAATTACCAAAAGGTCCACCAGCTTGAGGAGTAAAGCTTGGAAGAGAGGTATTAGATGTTGGAGTAGTAGATGTAGTAGTTGTATTACTAGTAGTGTTTGTCTGTGAACCAGCAGGAGCCCACGGATTTGGTAATGGTGCCGTATTTTCTCTACCTCTCTGACTATCAGTTGATTCTTAAATAAGGAATCAAATAATAAACAATTTGTTACGATTTTTTGATTACTGGGAATTAAATTTCCGAAGAAAAAATATTGGCAATTCAAAATCATAAAGGTGTGGAGAGGCCCTCCACAATGACATAAATAAATGAAATGAAATAAAATGGGGTTTAACGTCCTACTGTTCTGCTCCTAAACTGGGATAATGAATACAGGCATACGCCATACAGTGTGCTATGAGAAAAATTTTGCCCGGGCAGCGGCGCTACAGCCTACTCTTGTATCGAATTCCAACTGCCAAGGGATCTTTTACGTGCACACCAATATGTACACGGCACCTCAGTTTTTCGTCCCATTCGAACGACTAGACAGCTGACCTTGTCAGGCCCTCCGTCCTGCATCACTGACAAGGGGGAACCACGCCGGAAAATCTGGATGAACTTTCTCGGCTTTTTAGGCTGACTAATAAGCTCAAGTGATTATAAATTGTCTTATACTATACCTGTATTACTTCCATCTTGATTAACTAATGAAGCAAAGGGATTGGTGCCAAATCCTTCCTGGGCTGCATTCATCATAGGTTCCTGTACATCTCGGTACATTCTTTGTAAGGCATTAAATCCACCAGGAATACTCTGTTAATATAGATGAAGATAGGTTGCCAGGCAACGAAACATACCCCCCAAAGCAGCTAAATCGTCCGAACAGTCGACAAGAGTTGTCACATTTCTATGCTTTTTTGGGTAAAAAAAGAGCATTTACAAGACACTGATATCCATTTCATACAGATCGAATGTTCACATTGTTCAACAAAGTGAAACAAGGGCCATAACTGTAGAAGTAATTAAAAGAAATTGCTTAAATTCAATAGGCTTCTTCATTTTACTAATCTCAATAATGCATTTAAATTTAATACAGATTGGATGATAACTTTTGTCAATAGAGCGTTCACAAAGAGTTCAAAAAAGTGAAACCAGGGCCATAACTCTAGAAGTAATTAACGGAAATTGCTGAAATCCAATAAGCTTCTTCATTTTAGTGATTTAAATAATGCATATAAATTCCATACATATCGGATCATAACTTTTGTCTATTGAGCGTTCACATGGTTCAACAAAGTGAAACAAGGGCCATAACACTAGAACTAATTAATGGAAATTGTTGAAATAGGATTCTTTGATTTAGTGATCTAAATATTGCATATAAATTTGATACAGATTGGATGATAACAAGGGCCATAACTCTGGAAGTTATTACCAGAAACTGCTGAAATTCAAAAGGCTTCTTTAGGTTATTAATTGAAATAATGCATGTACAGTAGAATCTGTATGAGCAGCCACTCCTATTCAGCGACATCTCCTTGTAAGCAGTCACAATAAATTCCCCCCGTAAAAATTATATTGTTTCATTTCTTTAATCAACGGTCACTGTTTTACTAATAAATTTAACAAAACATCGCCCATTCAACGGCCATTGTTGAACGATACCATCTTGTCGTTCTTCTTAACACCCCCTCTAATCCTGTGATTAATAGTTAATTAGCTGGACCCCCGCTGATCAGGTAAAAAGAAATGTGAAAAAAATAATAACAGGATTATCTGTTAATTAATGTTTTGTTTTATTAAACGACCAACTCGCTCGTTGTTTTCACGCGTAACGAAACATAATTAGATACTGATTGAATATAATTAAAAGTACCGGCGAGTTTTGTCACGATCATCTGGTATCTCTTTTCCATTGCCACTTTGTTGCTAAACAGACGTTTTAGCGCCTCCTATAATATAACATGCAGAGTTACACCCCCTCATAATAGGTGACAAATTCAGCGATGGTTTTTAGTTCACGTGCTTGTTTGATAAAAATAAAATTAATTCATCGATTTTCTTCACAAAAATGGATAAATATTATCGAATGCATCACAATGGGAGACTGTAGTATCGTTGTTGATACAAAATGACATGTCAGATTTGAGTCAAAGAATTTTCGTTCCATGCAAGTTTTAGCGACGGCCAAATTTACAAAAGAAAGTACTGATGTTCGCTTAAAGATGGGTTCCCAGAAAAGTATTTATCGGGTGGTTATTTCCAATAAAAGTATGGCAATTTTGGTATATATGGAAAGTAGAGGTATCCAATCTTACTAGAAAAATACTAGATTGCCCAAAAAAACAGGACAAAAATGTAAGGGTTAACCTAATCGACGATTTGGAATTTCTGCACGCGTGATGTCAAAGGTCACACGCGAACATTGAGCGCTTGATGTACAAGTTGATAAACTTTATGAAGAGTTAGGCGTACAACACTTTCTGAGATAAAAATGATGGAAAAAGACGCGGGTAGTGGATAATCCGAGAATTTAATAAAGATTCGATATTTGTAATAAATAGTAAGCGGTTAAAGACAACATCATCTTATGTATGCAATGAATTCTCCTCTGACTTCCAAGAGAGGTAAGTCACGTGACGTAAACATGACCTGGTTTGATCGAATTCTTATAGCATGGTATTCCTTCGCAATTACAATGTTTGAGAAGGATATGAAGCAAAATTATGACAAATTAATTAGTTTGAATATGTTTTTAGTCCATATATACCATTAAATCAGCCAGTTTGTATGCAGGAATGTATCTTTAATGCATCCAAGCGAAATATTTAATTGATGTCAGTACAAAAAAAACACCAAGATTTTATTAAGAGGCCACTCCCGTTAAGCGGTCAGTCGTGAAAATTCCCTTGGGTGTCTGCTTAATACAGATTCTACTGTACATTTAATACAGATCGCACGATAAATTGAACGGTTAGAGCATTCAAAAGGTTCAACAAAGTGAAATAAGGCCATAACTCTAGCAGTTATAAACGGAAATTGCTGAAATAGGCTTCTTCATTTAACTAACTTAAATAATGCAAGCAGGCCACGAAATTTCAAATTTTGGCGTAACCAGAAAAATGGTTGCGGGTTTATGTTAAAAGATCATAAAGGTAATTGGAGCATTATCGTTCAAACATTTATATACCATCAATAGAGTTTTATATTCAGCATGGACATCTATTACAAGTAAATGGAGTTGTTTTAGGGTGTAGGATGAACTGAAGAATGTGGGTTGTCCAAGAATCAATTTGGCCGTAAGATTTTGCACTCGCTGAAAAGGGGCGAGTGTAGTTTTTGATAAATACACAAAAAGACCGTTACAGTAATCTAGATGTGACAATATGAGAGTGTTGGCCAGCTTAAAACACGTCGGTCTGTCCAAATAGTGTCTTATTTTCTTTATGTTTAATAAAGATAGCGACGCAGCACATGTCTTGGATGCAATATGGGACTTGGTTAGATTTTGATCCATGGTAACTCCAAGAACTTTAACTGATGTTGATCTTGGTACAAATACAGCTTCGATTTTAATCGTAGGTGTAGCACATTTGGATAGAGCCTGTGAACTGCCAAACACGATGAACTCTGACTTGTCGTCGTTCATCTTCAGCCTATGCTTTATGTCGTCCATTGTTGCGGACAAATCCAAAATGGTTTGCCCCTCAGATGCATGAACACAAGCTTTAAAACAACCGTAGATGTTGTGATCGTCAGCATAACAAACCAAAGTTAGATTGTTACCCACAAAATACTGTAAAGTGCTGGAATAGCATGTAAAGAAGATAGGGCCATTTATGCTACCTTGGGGCACGGAATAACAAGAAATTGTGACAACAGACGGAGGCAATGGCAATATACGATCACATTTCCATGTGGGTGTATTTATAATCCTTTCAATTTATATAACAAAGCCAGAAACAAAATATTCACTATTACTATTACCCAACTGACCCTATTTTATGGAACTAAATTTGCTGAACATAAAATTGTTCCAACCATCACCACCCCACCACCATATTTCCCACGTAACTGCTTGATTTGATAATACAGATTACAGAAACCAATTATAATCTAATTAATACACTCATAATTGAGATATCTCCACTAAAAGTAGCTGTTATAGCTCTACCCAAGATACCGATATTTGCAGATTAGCTAAAACACACAAAATTTGAGTGTACTGTAATGCATTTGACGTCAAGACTATCACCTCCAAATATATTATTGTAAACTAAAAATTGAAGGTGTTTTTGTGCATAATGTATTATGTAAACAGTTATCTATCAGATAATATTAATCAAATTTTTGTGGAATTGGAATACAGCAGCATATATAATAATCAAACTGGCTTTATGCACATACTCCTTTTATGCGCTTGCTTTATGTACCGGTACTCTGTAAACTTAACTTAAATTGAAAAGAAAAAAATTGATTCATAAATACTACTTGCCTCTAAATTACTCATGGCCCTATCTTGAGTTCTCATCAATTCTTGTAACATCGATGGATTCCTTGCCAACTCCATTGTCTATAAAAGATATAACAATAGATCACACTTATATTAGTCTAAGTAAGCTCCACTGACTTTATTATAGGAATATACTTTGCTTCACTTTAGCACGCTTAATAGCAAGACAGTATATCGTCGATACATAATCAAAAAGTTTTATTTTTTTATTTTATTAATTATTACGGAGAGGAAAAAATAATGATATTGTACCAAGACCTAACGTCTAAAATATGTATGTGTACAACATTGTTTTCTATATCAGATTAAACATACTGGGCTGATATATCGTGTAAAAGTTAGTAATCAATAGTTTTACACAGTTAAGAAGTACATATCTCTGCAATAGATTTTCACATTTAACAAACAAAGTAAAATAAGATAATTGGCTACTTTTGGTTTGCTCATGAATTTGATTTTTCAACAAAATATGTTAATCTTATCTGAATAGGTAGGACCGACTTATATCAGTTATTTAGGGAACAATATAAAACTATTTTCTATTGACTTAGAAACACGACAACTGGGTAAAGTAAAGCAAAATAAAAGAGAAATGGCTAGAAAGTGAATTTAGTCAAATATGCCAACTTTAAGTCCAAGTAAACCATCATTACAAATTAAGAGCAAACGAAAAGACTTCGGCAATCTGTTTACTTATAAAATGATTAAAAAAAGGGTACAATACTACCTGTCTCATTAATTCAGGATTATTCAACATGTGGGTAATTTCTGGATTTCTCTACAGGAAAAAATATCAATGATTAGTCTCTACTTTCATAGACATTACCATTTACACAACATACATTATTACACTTACAGTACTATTTGCTTTGTTTACATAATAATATGGTTAGATAGATTTACTGCATTTTCTATCGGAAGCTGATATTCAGGGGTACCGGTATATAATTTACTGATACATTTGAAAAGAAATTCAAAGTATGTTCTAAATACTTTACAAAGAGAAAAAAATGGGTTGCCAGGCAAAGAAATTTACACCGCAGCTAAATCGCTCGAGCAGTTGAAAAGGGTTGTCGCATATTTATTCGTTTATGGGTAATTGGGGCATTTACAAGACAGTTTCATACAGATCAGATTATAATATTTGTCGTTTGAGGGTTTCATAAGGTTCTACAAACTGAAACAAGGGCCTTAACTCTGGAAGTACTTTACAGAAAATTTTGAAATCTGACAGGCTTTTTCATTTTACTAATTTAAATAATGCATATAAATTTCATACAGATCGGCTGATAACTCTAGAAATAATTGACGGAAATTGCTGAAATTCAGTAGACCTCCGTTTTACAAATTTAATGATAACTTTCATATAAATGCATATAAATTTCATACAGATCAGATGATAGCTTTTGGCGTTAGAGCGTCACAAGGTTCAACAAAGTGAAACAAGGGCCATAACTCTAGACGTAATAAAAGGAAATTGCTGAAATTCATTAGGATTCTTCGTTTCACTAATTTAAATAATGCATATAAATTTCACCAAGATTAGATGATAACTTTTGGTGTTAGAGCGTTCAAAAGTTCAACAAAGTGATACAAGGGCCATAACTCTAGAAGTACTAAACGAAAATTGCAGAAATTCAATAGGATTTTTCATTCTACTAATCTAAATGACTCATATAAATTTCATACAGATCGGATGATAACTTTTAGCATTAGAGCATTCACAAGGTTCAACAAATTGAAACAAGGGCCATAACTCTATAAGAAATTAACGGAAATTGCTGAAATTCACTAATTTAAATAATGCATATAAATTTCACAAAGATCGGATGATAACTTTTGATGTTAGAGCGTTAACAGGGTTCAATAAAGTGAAACAAGGACCATAACTCTAGACAAAATAAACGGAAATTGCTGAAATTCAATAGGATACTTCGTTTCACTAATTTAAATAATGTATAAAAATTTCATTAAGATTGGATGATAACTTTTGTCGTTAGAGCATTCACAAGGTTCAACAAAGTGAAACACGGCACATAACCATAGACGTAATAAGCAGAAATTATTGAAATTAAATAGGCTTCTTCATCTCACTTATGTAAACAACATATACCAATTTAAAACAATCGGATGGTAACTTTTGGCGTTAGAGCGTTCACAAGAAATTGTGGACGACGGATGGACAGACAGACGGACGGAATGACTGACGGGGAGCGACGACAATATATGTCCACATGGAAATGTGGTGTATACATATTATAAATTTTATAGTTACCTCCATTAGATCTCTCATCTGTGGATTATTCATTAGAAGTTGTCTCATCACATCAGGATTAGACATCATTTGTTGAACAAAGGGATTATCCATCATCTGTCTCAACATCTCAGGATTACCCATCATCTGAAATACAGAACATATGTAGTACCATGGGTCGTCTGTCAGACGTGGAAAGCCAAAATGTACGAAACCGGTCGCCACATCCGGCGTATGACTCATGCATCTTTTCTTACTGCATATTTTGGAACAGCTCTTGATCGTCTAGTATTGTCTCTGGCAGTATTTGTAAAGCACTTTTTAGGACTCGTGTTGTGTATCTTTAAATGTAATTCTGACATCCCACGTTATGAGTCCCAAAATACTGTATGATTAACAAACAAGATGACAGGAACAAAAGTATGGTTTCTATAGTTTTATATCAAGCTGATTACATAATTACAAGCATAAATTATAATAAAAGTCATTCTCTACTCTCTCAACCCCACCATTCCGTAAAACGAGTTTACTGGCGGATCCCAATACATCATATGACTCTCCTATGACTTAACGGAGCATTCTGAAACCAGATGGTGTCCCTTGAACCTCAACGGTCTCTCCTTTCTTAGAATCTACCTGGTGTCTATCCTAGAGAGCACATTCTGTTAATTATATAGTCTCAGATTCACCGCCATTAATTATTCTATTGGCTAATTATGATGTTATTAATCATGTGATTATTCACTCATGCCTAACATGGAATGGTAACTTTCATATCACGTGTTTTTAGACATAGAATTTATCCTTGGCCTTAGATCCCTTTTCCTGTTATTCTCACAATATTTCATAACAATTTAATTTGCGTTTTAAAGAACTTATACCACAGCTAGTATACTGACAAATTGGAGAATTCAAATAAAACATATGTGTTGATCAAATTATAACTCATGTCCCCTGGTGCTCTTATATTCATCCAATGTAATTTCGCATAAATTATTAAATAGTAATACACATTCTCAAGACATCAATAATATCTTCCTGTGCCAATAATTCTTTTAAACAAGTTTTGCGTAAAGAATTCACCAAATCTATATTATCTTTTATTTGATGACCAACCCTTTCAGTCAAAAGTCTAGTAATGTCAAATACATAAAGACTTCATTTCAAGATTTTGACATTACTTGGAAATTGAAAAATAAACCCCAAGAAGAATCTTACCTCTCTCTGCATTCTTTGCTGCATTTCCATAAAGTTTGCAGAGCCCATTCCCAGATTACCAAGGCCAGCCAGTCCACCAAGCCCACCAAGTCCAAAAGGAGAGGCCCCTATATCAGCTGGAGGAGAAGGAGCTGAAGAAGTCGGCTAAAATTGTCCAAAACATTGATATTTGGTTAAAGATTCCTGATATATTGATCACTGTCAAATGAAAAACTCCAAAATCCAAAGTCTATTCAACTGGCCCTCATCTTAAAAGAGCTACTTAATGATTTTTAAAGTGAGATGTTTAAATTTGAAAAAAAAACAAGATTGTCACTGGGCGCAGATTTTTATCTCAAATTTGTTTTCCTCTGTGGCCATAATGGGATAGCATGGCCAATAAAAAAAATATGGTTTATATACATGTAAAGGTAACAAAACCTTGTAACATCAAATATCCAACTTTGGGTAAAAAATGAGATACGTGTAGGAGATGGCATTCAAAATATTATAAGTCTGATCACCAAGTTCTGAGAATAAACTAGCCCAACAAATATTATAAAAAAAAATGTAATATAACTTCAATATTAAGTTTTTTGTTACTTCTGAAAAGTCCAGATATATCATTTTGAAAGTATGCTGATAATATATTGTAATTCATATTTCAAAAGAAGTGAAAACAATACCTCAGTTGGAGCAGCTGATGGTGTAGCTTGGGTCTGAAAAATATAAAATATTTTTTGTCAAATAATGTGTTTAAATCTGTAAGTTGGACATGGTTTTAATTTCTTCTTTGAATTCATCTTGTATGTAATTCAGAGAAAGTTTTAACTATCATCAAATTGTTTATTTTTATTCAATTGAAACCATACACACAATCAAAAATAATTTAATAAAAAAATTTATTTTCTGAAATATCATCACACTGATCAATTTGAACTAAAAGGGGCATTATGTAAGATTTAAATAAAGAGCTGGCCATTATCGCTATAATATATTAAAAATAGTTAATGCAAAGAGAATATATTGAAAATTCCATTCAAATTACTTTATTTTGAGTGAAGTTATCAATGATTGTAGTTTTGACAAGATGTGTGGATTGATCGTAACCACTGTAATGGTCATTTGAACCTTAGCCTTGCTTCTCCATTTTTAAATTAAGTCATTAAATGGTTGAACCATTCTAATCTACTTAGCAACATCCACTTGACACAAACTAGGTCATTTCAGGACATATGTTTCAATTTTATTTCAATAATTCGCTTGCAAGTAGGGGTCATTAGCAGTGGGAAAAAATTGGAGGACCTGGGGAATCCCACGAGGTTGGACAGACGACCCTACTCCTTGTCACGTACAAGCAGGGAATCAAAACCATGCCACTTGACTCAATGACAGACCTTCTGATCCAACGCACACGCAAATTATATAATGTGCAATACTATAGTCCATCTCTATAACGTGCTAGAATCCACAAAGCGTTCTCAAAATGCCTATTATATCGTTTAATTAAAGATACATTATGGGAGATTAGATAAAGAGCTGGCAGTTCTCACTATAATAATAGTTAAAGTCTGTCCCATTGCTTATGAAAAACAACTTTATCTTCTTGAAACAGTTACCTCTTTTATGCCTCCCCGTCAGATCAAATTTCAATTTCATGTTTTTCCTTAGGTGATACCAGGAATATATGCAATCATTAAACTTAATTTGTAATTATATGAAATGATAAGTGATAATCACAGGTGTTTTACGAAATGGATGAATCCATCAACATTTATATATGTATCTAGTGGGTAATTAAATTACAGTAATTATGTATACTTATGTAACAATATATAAACTTACCCTGTTGGCTGACTTAATTACCAAATGTACTACTAAACCATCTTTAATACCATGTTGAGCCAATGTGTCACCATCTTTTAAAATTTTACCAGCAAATATCAAGCATATTTGTTCTAATGGTGCACCAAATTTTTTGGAGACTTCTTCTTTTAACTGAAAATAAAAATATGTGTAATAACACATCCACGTTCTATAACAATTGAGAGGGATAGACACAACATTGTGACTGCCACAATTTCTACTTCTTTTCATTCTCAGTTGAATGCTTTAAAACTATATTAGCTGAGTAAATTTACACCAAGCTGACTAAGGAATAATGTTACCAGCATACTTGCATACCTGTCAAAACAAGTACATGTATGTATAGCCCCTCCATACTGTATATTACCGGTGGTGTCAGTTATAGCAATATGCACAACATATGAAATTCTACTATACGCTTACTGGGTACCGGTTTTTGAAAGAACTTTACTTCTAGAGATTTTGGTTGTTCATGCTCACACATACAAAAGATAAAGGACCAACTGTAACAATATGCCTGTATTTATGCTTTTCATGACATGCAGTTAAACAATGTAGTTAAATTAAATTTGTCACAAAGCATGTAAATATTAACACAGAAGATTAGTATTGACTATTAGTAATGCTAAAAACCTACACATACATGATTGTTCTTTACAGAGCGTACTCCCCAAAATAAGCACCAGTATCTATCAAAATACTGTCAGAAGACCCCCCAAAGTGTCTCAGTCTGCCCATTTGTACTCAAAAATGTGTATGATAAATAATTACATCAACTCATTAAATGGAATAACAGAACATGACCGAAGTTGAAGACCTCAATTGGCTCATTACCACAGAAAGTGACAACGCCTTATCATTACAGTCTCTACCAATACTACATGGCTAAGAAATTATTATTATCAGGTCCTGTCTTTTAAGCTATCTTTATTTACAAACTATATGATAGATGTAGTCTGAAATATTTAATTGATCATTCTTAATAGGCCTAATATAAATATTAATATGGAATCTTGAGGCCTATTCAAATTTATCTACACTCCTAAAAACCAGTAGTTTCACACTTTTGAGAATGATACACGGATACTGTTTACTTGTTATATTATAAGAAGCCCGTATAGATGACGACAACGTTCATGATGACATTATTATTAAGCAAATTTGACCAGAAAATGTACACAAAACAATACCGTGTAAGTGATTATGGGTCCAGTCCGTCCCATTGCTTATGAAAAATAACTTTATAATCTTGAAACAGTTACCTCTTTTATGCCTCCGTCAGATCGAATTTCAATTTCATGTTTTTCCTTAGGTGTTTTAACGTTGATTTTGATAAGGGAAGATCCAGAATTTTCTGAGTTGTCCGCCATGTTGGTTCGTGATCACTCGATTAAAAGATGGAATATCCGGTTAAGATTTGATTGTCCAGTTACCAGCTTTTATAAAATAAAGCCAAAAAGACCATAGATTTGGTATTCTCCGAGGACAGATTATTGTCTGTTAAGTTAACAAAATAAAAACGTTACAATAAATCTCTTTATTTCCTTAAAATTATAAAACATTAATTTTAGAATCGCCAGTGTATTGTCACCATTTAAAACTACACAAGACAATCAAGACTATGTAAATGGTCTTTGCTTCCTAATGCAAGGGAAGTTACTCCAATTAACGAGTACTTTCCCTTCGACTATATTCTATTGATTCGTAATGAAGTTATTTACATCTGAATGAGTAATATAGATAGGTAAAAACACTTAAATAATAAAAAGTTCTTGTATATCTAAAAGTCACTAAAAACACAGTTTTAGAGTAATAAAAAAGTTCTTGTATATTTAAAAGTCACTTTAAAACACAGTTTTAAAATAATAAAAAGTTCTTGTTGTATGTCTAAAAGTCACTTTAAAACACGGTTTTAAAATCGCTGTCGTGTGAAGAGAAGGCGGGTCATCTTCTCTTGTCATAATGAAAACAAGTTAAAATAGGAGATCCAGCTGTTTGATGCCATGGCAGCAGATTGAAAAAAAAAACAAACCTGTAAAGAATCCGCTGTTTAATGTGGAAAAGCGAAGTTCTCGCAGTAAAAACCACATATAGCTGGATCCGTGGAGTATTTACAAATAATGTCCGTGTGGTTCTTTCCATATAATAATAAGTTGAAAGAAATTAAAATAAATCTATATGTTGTTGAAAGAAATTGAAATAATAAACGATTACCTGCCTTTTGTGGGTTTTTTGGGGGTTTTTTTTTTGGTTTTTTTGGGGGGTTGTTTTTTTTTTAAATCTGGTGTTGATTATCGAACCCATTCTGCTCAGTGAGTTCAAATTGATTATTTACGATAATTGATTGGTGATTGTTAAAGCAGTTTAAAAACGATTAAAAATATTTAATTTGGTGTTGATTTTATTGAACCCATTCTGCTGAGTGAGTTGTTTTTGTGATTGTGATTATTGACGATAATTGATTAGTTGTTGTTAAAGCGGTTAAAAACGATTGAATATATTCCCAAATGCGACACGTAATGTATTATTCATTACATAATAAACCTTAAATCAATTGAACTCGTTGTAAGGTGGAACTGCATGCTTTCTGATATGGTTGGGTTATTTGAGCCTAAAAATTTGCGATTATTGACGATAATTGATTGGTGGTTGTTAAAGCGGTTAAAAACGATTGAATATACTAAGAATTCCAAAATGCGACATGTAATGTATTATTCATTACATAATAAACCTTAAATCAATTGAACTCATTGTAAGGTAGAACTGCGTGCTTTCTGATATGGTTGGGTTATTTGAGCCTATAAACAGAACACAGCAAGTCTCGAAAATGTGCCTACGTGTGAAGATGGGCGAACGTGCTTCTTTGATCTGTTATATCATGGACCGTATAAACGGTTATATGACGGGGTAATTCTGTTATTGAAACCCAACTGCATGAAAATGGCTTTCGATTGTAACCGATGTAAATTTATTGAAATGCTGAAGCAATTTTAGTTTAAATAATAATATATCCTTTGTGTGTGGATTTATTGGGCGGCTGTATTGTATTATCAATGTGTAAATTTCTATTTTATGGATTTGCATCGTGACATGGTTTTTTTTTTTGTTTTTTTTTTGTTAATATTTTAACAAACTGTGGTGTATTTAAAATGTTTCTTATCAATGCATAAAATTCGCTTTTTGCTATTAAATCATCGTAGCTAATTCTCGTTCGACAGCCATTTTTATACTATTCAAAAAAAGTAGGGGATATTTGATTTTGGGGGCATAATACTAAAATATGCAAATGACTACGAAAAAAGTCACTATAGAACCTAACAGAAGAAACATTTCCAGTTACATGTGACGCCCAAACGCACCAATAGCTACCGCATGGAATGCAGGTGATGCTTGGGATCATCATGGGGGTCCAACCCAAGATTTGCACGACTCTGACTTTGAATGTTACAGTCATTGTGGCATTGAATTCCAGGGTGGAAACATCAGTTTAATTGTTTTAGTGACCAGAAAACAAATTTTGATATGCATCGGCTTACCCAAAATGAAAGGTTACGTGCCCTTGGCATGCTACAGATCGGCACAACACAGGCGGTTGTGGCGCGGACGATGAATGTTTCTCAGTCTTTCATAAGCAGGCTATGGTCCAGATACCGTGATACACAATCTGTACAGGACAGACCACGCTCAGGTTGACCAAGGGCGACAACTCAAGCCCAGGATCGATTTATCCGTACCTTGGCCTTGAGAAATCGTGTCATCACAGCAAATCAGATCAGCGCTCGTCTTCAAACAGACACTGGTGTGAGAGTGAGTGGCCAGACGATTCGGAATCGACTGCATAGATCATCACATTCAGGCAAGACGTCGTTGGTGTAGGGATCGTCAACACTGGGATAATCGACGCTGGAGCAATGTGATGTTTTCAGATGAGTCAAGGTTCACTGTTGACTTTTTGGACAGACGTGGGAGGGTGTGGCGTCGTCGAAACGAGCGCTTCCAAGACGTTAACGTCATCAGACATGATCGATTTGGGGGTGGTTCTGTTATGGTGTGGGGAGGCATCACTGTTGCTGGAAGAACGGCTTTACATGTTGTTGCAGGGCGTGTTACAGGCCAGTACTACCGGGACAACATCTTGGCAGTCCATGTTGTGCCGTTCGCACGACGTCATGGCCGCCGTTTCATCTTCCAGGATGACAACGCAAGATGTCACAGGGCCAGGATCGTTACAGGTTACCTCCAACAACAGAACATCACCACATTACCTTGGCCAGCACTGAGTCCCGACCTCACCCCCATCGAGCATGTCTGGGACATGCTTGGACAGAGGTTACGTCAACAACGTCCTGCCAATGTCCAAGAACTTGCTGCTGCGTTGCAACAGGAATGGGACAATCTGGGCCAAAATTACCTTAGACGTCTCATTAGGAGTATGCCACGTCGGATCAATGCTTTTTTGGCAAACAGAGGAGGATTTACCCGTTACTGACTTGGTTGTGATGCTGTGGTAACTTTGCTGTTTGACCCCGGGTATCATTTTACCCTTATAATGGTCAGTCTGTGCCTTACTTAGTCTAACGATCATTTGGAATAAATCGATGAATGTGAACTTCATTTCATTTTGTCATTTGTTTCTTCGTCAGTTTCATTAGGTGACTTTAATAACACTTAAAAATCAAATATCCCCTACTTTTTTTGAATAGTATATAATAAAAAAAATGTTCTTTTTAATATTTTAACAGACTGTGGTATATGATTTAAATGTTTCATATTCATGTAATTATCAATGCATAAAATTCGCTTTTTGTTATTAAATCATCGTAGCTAATTCTCGTTCGGCAGCCATTTTTATAAATTTAGCGCAGCCGTTGGATTTGATCAAATCGTTTAATTATGTTTCACCTTTATTTCAATTTCTTTCAACCACATTTAGGAAAAGAAACTAATCAGTTTGAGGTACAGATCTCGTGCATATGTTATCTAATTATTTTATTTATATCTTTTGTAAGTTTAGACGTGGAAGCCACCGACTACCCATTGAGCTGGGAAGATGGAGCGATGTTGCGCAACAAGACAGGACATGCCAACTTTGTGACTTAGGGGACATTGGTGACGAATTCCATTATATAATGGTATGTAATGCATTTAGTCCCAAAAGAAAGAAATATCTACCTCTTTTCTGCTGTTCAAACCCTAATATTTATAAGTTTAACCAGTTGTTTAATACTTCAAATATGATCACCTTGGAAAAACTATGTAAATTTATAAAACTTATAAATGTGAAAGCAAGTCCTCCTAGATAATTTAGATATTTTTGTTCAGTTCGCACATGCACGTAATTATATATACTCTTCATATTCTAATTCTGGTTCGGCAGCCATTTTTATAAATTTAGCGTAGCCGTTGGATTTGATCAAATCGTTTCACCTTTATTTCAATTTCTTTTAACTGATTTCAACAACATATAAAAGGTACGAATAAATTTGAGGTAGGCCTACGAATCAATTTGAGGTACGAAGTGAAGTACGAATTGGCTCATGTGAGGTACTAATGAACTAAGTACGAAACAGCCAGGTTACGAAACAACTGTCTTAACTTGCGGGTTTAATTGTATTTGACATTATTATCATGTATTGTATACAGTTCTATTCTATAAAGAAGATATTATATTTTTTTTTATATAGTCAGTGGGCTTCATTCATCCCTTGATATTGTTGAACATATAGTAAACAATTGAGATTAATATCAAGAAAACACAAATTATAGTAGACCTATTAATAAATCTGGTAGAAGGTGGTTTCGGCAATTTTAAAGGCGTTGGGTACGTAATTGATAAGTCAATAGTGAGAAGTACGAAATCGTGATTTTCTCGCTGATTTGTGGATGAAATTCGTATTTTTGCTATTTTATAGACAGCTTGGACATTCAGTAGAATGTTACTGATACTTTATGGGAGATTCGATAACGAGTTGGCAGTTCTCACTATAATAGTTAAAAACTAGATAATGTAAAGGCAATTTGCTGAAAATTCATTCAAATTGATCCACTATGAACCGAGAACAAAGCGATTGAATTTCCGCCTAGCCTCGATCATCATTACTAAAGTCAGTACGATAAACAGCATAGTCGCGATTATCCATTTAATCGTTAAACCGTGAAGGAAAGTTATGCAGTAAATCAGCTCACAATCCACTAAAGATCGCAGGCTATCGATGAGAGTTGATTATGGTCTGGATAAGTTAATTAATGTCTAATTAATAATTTAGATAACATTTCAGGCCTAAAGAAAGACCTGCAATAGACAGATTTAGCTCTTGCATAATGTATGTTTAATGAGCGTCAAAGTGATTGGCAATTGTTCTCATTTTGAGGACTAAAATTTGATTTGATTTGATACTTTTTATTTAACCAAACTAAAC